CTTGAATTTTTAAAATATTCACTTTAAATTAGAACACTTAATGGAAGTTAAGTAATGAAATAGAACAGAATTATTAAAATGATACAATTTAATAATGGCAAATTTTCATATACGCAAAACAGGTGTAAATGCTAACAAGTTTTGTATGATATTAATGTTATGCAAAGCATCAAAAAAGACGCACTCGCAGGCAATTTTCAGAAGGTGGTTGTTGTGAATTTGTTTAATTTAAATTACGTTGAATTTCCTTGCTTAATAAACAGGCACATTTTTTCAAAGATCCTCCAAGATTAGATTCACGAAATTTGTACCCCCAACCGAGTAAGGTTTAAAACCCCTTTTTGTGGTTATTGGGAAGATCATAATTATGTAGATATGCTTGGTGGTTGAGCTTTGAAAATTTTAAAACAAAACGTTTAAAGATAGCGGAGTCGATTAGGCCATGTCTGTCTGTCCGTGTATATAGAGTCGGACTGAACTAGAAACTGAACTAGAACCGAACTAGAACTGAACTATAACTGAACTAGAACTTACGAGCACTGAAGCTAGAACTGACTAACGAACTAGAACTAGAACTGACTAGAACTGAACTAGAACTGACTAGAACTGAACTAGAACTGAACTAGAACTAGAACTGAACTAGAACTGAACTAGAACTGAACTAGAACTGAACTAGAACTGAACTAGAAACTGAACTGACTGAACTGAACTAGAACTGAACTAGAACTGAACTAGAACTGAACTAGAACTGAACTAGAACTGAACTAGAACTGAACTAGAACTGAACTAGAACTGAACTAGAACTGAACTAGAACTGAACTAGAACTGAACTAGAACTGAACTAGAACTGAACTAGAACTGAACTAGAACTGAACTAGAACTGAACTAGAACTGAACTAGAACTGAACTAGAACTGAACTAGAACTGACTAGAACTGAAACTAGAACTGAACTAGAACTGAACTAGAAACTGAACTAGAACTGAACTAGAACTGAACTAGAACTGAACTAGAACTGAACTAGAACTGAACTAGAACTGAACTAGAACTGAACTAGAACTGAACTAGAACTGAACTAGAACTGAACTAGAACTGAACTAGAACTGAACTAGAACTGAACTAGAACTGAACTAGAACTGAACTAGAACTGAACTAGAACTGAACTAGAACTGAACTAGAACTGAACTAGAACTGAACTAGAACTGAACTAGAATTGAACTAGAACTGAACTAGAACTGAACTAGAACTGAAGTAGAACTGAACTAGAACTGAACTAGAACTGAACTAGAACTGAACTAGAACTGAACTAGAACTGAACTAGAACTGAACTAGAACTGAACTAGAACTGAACTAGAACTGAACTAGAACTGAACTAGAACTGAACTAGAACTGAACTAGAACTGAACTAGAACTGAACTAGAACTGAACTAGAACTGAACTAGAACTGAACTAGAACTGAACTAGAACTGAACTAGAACTGAACTAGAACTGAACTAGAACTGAACTAGAACTGAACTAGAACTGAACTAGAACTGAACTAGAACTGAACTAGAACTGAACTAGAACTGAACTAGAACTGAACTAGAACTGAACTAGAACTGAACTAGAACTGAACTAGAACTGAACTAGAACTGAACTAGAACTGAACTAGAACTGAACTAGAACTGAACTAGAACTGAACTAGAACTGAACTAGAACTGAACTAGAACTGAACTAGAAAGACTGAACTAGAACTGAACTAGAACTGAACTAGAACTGAACTAGAACTGAACTAGAACTGAACTAGAACTGACTAGAACTGAACTAGAACTGAACTAACAAACTGAACTAGAACTGTACTTCTATAACCACCCACGCGTGAATGTAACGCGTCGATGGCAATTTTTGAACATGAATTCTGCCGGTGCATGTACAAGCAATTTGCTCAGCTCTCGATCTATCTAACCTCTGACCATTGCTGCCTCGTTGCGTAACTTCCGAGATGCTAATCATTACAATCCGTTGATTCGGCAACAGCACCTAGAGGCGTAGTCGATAGACCCGACATGCGGATCCATCAAATACGACGAGTACATGTTCTTACTCACAGAGGAGAATACTGTTGGCAAAATTTGGTTAAACAGAGTAAATACTGAACATACCCTGACAAGGAAGAATAATTCAGTGGTATCACTTATATAAGATACCTTACATTCATCACCATTCAACCCAGCACATTTCTCATTTATCCCACATATTCATTGAGAAAAACATCCGAAACACTTACTCTAGGTATAGCGATAGGTAAGGCCCGCAAAGCCCTACATCCATCTCGTATAATATATACTTGACACCAACTCATTTCCATCGCTTAGTCCCACACTCACTCAACTGTGGAGTAACTGTTGTATCGGCAATCCCCGTAGGCTACCGGTTTCCGTGGTACCACATTATAAGGCTCCATGGTTCGACCAAAGGTCAAATCATTCCGAGGAAATGCCGGGGATACATTTGACACCACCAGTTTATAGTCCTGGCAGACTTGAGCGATTGCTAATATCTTTTTTCCTCCGGATTGCAATAACATCAAGATGGGGAAGATCATCAGGATAGCATGCTCCCGAGGGAATAAGAACTGACACATAGGTTTGTCATTCTCTCACATAAGTTTGTCATTCTGTTTGCAATTTCTACAATATAATTTTATTAAGATAGTTTGGACTTGAAAACATCGACAGATACAACACTTTACTCATATTAAGCATGAGGTAAAGTTTTAACACAATCGTTTGAACCAATTAAATAGATGACATCAATAGATTTAAGTAAAGACGTTCTAATATACATAAGAATATATGTAAATTAGGGAGCGCCAAAATGGAAGTTGCCGATATTCCTGCCAAAAATTTAAATTTTGTTCATTTCAATATTTGGTGAGCTTTCTGGCTAATCCTCCTTCAAAATCGAGGCCACCCTAATATACATTAATATGTATGTGTGTTTATATGCATATTGTGTTAAAAAGTCTTAAGAAATAAAGTTTAGTAGAGGAGCAGCCGAAAGTTAGAAGAAAATAAGTTACCAGCTCAACAAATATTCAAATTTTTGACATTTTTTAGAATTATAAGTCATCATATCTCTGGAATGTCTCTAAGGAAAATCTAGCAAAGTTTAAAAGGAACAGGAAAAGAACAAACACACAAACTCCCTTTGACAAATGTGTTGTGTTATTTGTCAATATTTACATACAACTATCATCCCAGCAGTTCTGGAGGTCCTAAAGAGAGTTTAATAAAGTGTTATTTAGAACATTTGCAAGTTCCAAAGAGTTGTCTATTGTTCCTTCACAACAGCTACAAATAGGCAATATACTTTACAATATATTCGTAGGTTACTTCCGGAGGGTTTAATAACTATACGGTATAGGAGTAGAGAAAAAGGTTTGAATGATCAGAAACAAATTGTTATAATTTTGGACAAAATACTGTTTAGAAAGGTATAATTTGACGCCTTAAAAACAGCTGGGGAAATAGATATTCACAAATACAAATCTCACTTATTATATTATTGTATGTGTATAAATGTGTTCTTTTGCAGGGAGTTGATTTGAGGCTTTTGGGCATTCAATTACTGCTGCCATTTTACAATGTCAACAGTTTTCGGGGGCAAAATATTATGTAAATTAATTTAATTTGATTTAATATTTTATTTGAATTTTTTTTTTTCTACGTAAAATTTAATACAAATAGTAATATAAAAATGTATATTTTGTCATTTCATATCATACTTTTTTTTATCTTAAGGGAAACAAACATTTCCCATACATGGTTGCTGGACCACAAATTAAAAACTTATTTGAAGTGTTAACTAAATATTTTATATTAACATAATATACTTTTAAATATGCAAAACGTACATATGTACATAATAAAAAAGATTTCCTGAAATTTAAACTAAGATAAGAAGTTTTATTGTAAAATATGTATAAATTATTTGCATTTATTTCTAAAAAAAAGAAATATTTTAAAAATATAATTTTTATGTAGATTTTGCTTTAGATTTATTTTTTAAATCCTGTATAGGACAATTACTATGAATGAATTGAAACAAATATTTTTATAGGTATATTGGATTTGTGCTGATGTTTGTAACATACAAAAATATTCGTCCTAGACCCACCTTAAAGTATACCAATCGGCTTAGAATCGTTTTCTGAGTCGATTAAGCTATGTCCGTCCGTCCGTCTGGCTGGCTGGCTGTCCATGTAAACCTTGTGCGCAAGCTACAGGTCGCAATTTTCAAGATAATTGGATGAAATTTGGCACGCACCCAAGGACGAAGCCTATTGAAAATGGTTAAAATCGGTCCATTATTTCACCTAGCCCCCATAGAACAGAACCCCCCGAAAAGGGCTTCTGAGCTCATAATTATGTTAAATATACAGATATATCGATAAAATACGGCACAACTACGTTTTATAGAAATTTTGATAACCCTGCCAAATTTCATAAAGATCGGGCCCCATTTGACCCTAGCTCCCATACAAAGTCCCCTTCAGAAAATTACTTGAATGTCCCAAATTAACTTATAAACACAAATATCGCGATGAAATTCAGCACAATAAAATATTATGTAAATATAAATATATTCACAAAATTTTATCGGGCTTGGTCCATATTTGCCCCTATCCCCCATATAAAACCTCTTTCAGAAAATTAGTTTTTCATCCATAAATTGCTTAAATGTATCGGAACAAGGGAATATTGAAGATAAATGCTTTATTATGAAAAATAAATCACATTTAATATTCATAACTGGTGTAGGGTATCATATGGTCGGCCACGCCCGACTATACTTTCTTACTTGTTTTAGTATAAAGCACTTAAGAGCTCTTAAGATAATTTATAAAAAATTTAAATATGTACAATCAATCTTAAAAGTTTTTAATTAAAATTATATAATATGAATAACATAATGTTGATAAGAAATATTTCAATTAAAATTTTTTAAAAAAAAAACTTACCTAATGTCAACACTATACAAGATATTGATAATCTGCAAAAGAAAAGAATATCATAAATATTCAAGACATAATAAAGATTGAAGAATCAAATTTATATTTATACATAAATTTTTATATAATTTAAATATTTTTTTACAACAAGTCACATTTTTAAGTCTGATTTTTATAAAAGTGTGGTTAGATCAATTTTAACTTATGCTTCAACAATCTGGACTTCTTTGGACAAAAAGTGTAACATCAAACTCCTAAAGAAAGTTCAACGTATATATGTAAGTGGTAACATGAGTACTACGTCAGCCACCCATTGAAATATGTATAAGACTAGCATACCCTGGGTGCTTCGCTACCCTAACCAAAATTAAATACATACAAAATTTTGTTTACTTTTATAGAAAATTAAAATTGATTAAAAATGTTTTTAATGTTTCAGTTTTTTACGTTCAATATCACGTGAATAAATTCGCATTCAGTAAGAAGCTTGTATTTTTAGTTACATTCATCTAGCTTCCACATTTTAGAAAATTTCGAAAGTACTATTTGAAAAAAAGTATTATAAAATACCTCTAATAGATTATCATTTAATCAAAAATTTTATGTTTCTGTGTTCAATATTATATACAATTCAAAAAATATAATTTTAATGAATGAAAAAGTATCAAAAGTCCCTTTCAGTAGATTCTCATTCACTAAGGTCCCTATATTTTAAATTTTATATTTCTATATACAATATCGTAAAAATATCAAAAAGTACCATCGGAAAAACAAAAAATGTACAAAAACCTCTCTCAATAAATTCTCATTTAATAAGGACCGAGTGTCATGTGTTCCGGTTAACCATTATAGAGAATCCAAAAGGTACCATTTAAAGAGTGGAGAAGTACCAAAGAGTTCCCACTTACAGAATATTATTCAGTCAAGGCCATGTATGTTAAAATTTATGTTCCTAGGTTGAATATTTTAAAAAAAATTCAAAATGTACCATTTATCAGATAAAAAGTGTTAAAAAGTTCTCTCTTAAAGAATCTTATTCAATGAGGAGCGTGTATGTTTAATAATCATGTGTTTTGAATTCGTATTAAAGAACATACAAAGAGTATCATTTGAAGAAAGAAAAGGTACAAAAGTGGAATAAATTCTACCTTAGTGGAAAGTACTAAAAAAAAAGAGTACAATTTTTCCCCTTTTAGTCTAGGAATATACTTTTTCAAGAATTAAGTTTACAAAATGTTCCGTATTTAAATCTATATATCACAGATAAAACTCAAACGATTCACATCTGCATTCATTTGTTCCAGAAAAATTGTGCTTTCAAAAAGTACCAAATAATTTACTCGAATTTGGTCCTATTACCCCTTAATACTCGAATTCCAAAATAATATACCAATAGCTTATTTTGTGTGTGTAAATAAACTACTTTTTAAAATTTTTTTTTTTTATAAAAAATTGGCTCAATGAGTTTGAATAAAATTAAATTTCCCGTTTTTTCCTCTTTTTGGTACTTTTTTTTTCCCCAGTGAAATAGCAGATATTTTGTTTCAGTAAATATTACAGAGTTAGTCCATAATTTAATAGGAATACTTCAATAAATCGAAAAAGTTTTCTTAATGTGTTAAAAAAAAGTATCAAAAATACAGTTTTCTTCTCCCTTTTACACAAAAAAGGACTGAATTTTAAAAAAGCACAAAACAGGTGTCTCCTAATTTTGGGAGATATATCCAAAATATTTATAACAAGTAAGAGTGTTATATTCGGCTATGCCGAATCTTATATACCCACCATCAAATCACTGCCATATAAATAAACTTTGATATTTTGAATATTTTATTTTTATATATCGATACTAATGTGAACATCAGGGTAATATTTGAAATAGTTCTCTTAATGGGGATTCAACTATTGACAGTGAAGATTTCGGATTTGACGGTAGGAAGATTTCAGTTCCTTACTTATTTCAAATTTTATAGTTCTACTTATATTTTTAGGCCAGTAATGAACATTAAAGTAATTTTCTTAAAGGGTTAGGGTTAATTATGGACCGATCCTCATAAAATATGGTAAAAAGATTTTAGCTTAAAATTAGTTTATGTCGAATTGCATTGCGGTATTCGTATTTTCAGCCAATTAAAGTAATTTTCTTAAGGGGACCTTATATGGGGCGTAAGACTAATTATGAACCGATCATCCTTAAATCTCGTAGAACGATTTTTATTTATACAAATTATATTTGTGTATAATTTCCAGCCAGTAATGAGCGTTGTAAAAATTTTCGGTGGGGTAATTATGACTGATCCTCACAAAAATTGGTAGAGAGATTTCGGTTCCTATAGAACTTATCAGTGTCGAATTTCATCGCTGTACTCGCATTTTTAAGCCAGTAATGAGCGTTAGAGTATTTTTGTCTAAATGGGGGGTAGTGTCAATTATGGGCCGACCCCCACAACATTTTGTAGAGAGATGTTAGCTCATACAAAACTAGTTTATGTCGAATTTCATTGATCTACTAGTATTTTTAAGCCAGTATTTAGTTTTAAAGTCATTTTCTGAAGGGGCCTTATATGGGGGATGGTCTATTACAGACCGATCCTCGTAAAATTTTGTAGAACCATCTTGGTTCATACAGGTCATGTTTATAACGAATTTCATCGCTTTACTCATTTTTTAGGCCAGTAATGAGCGTTAAATTATTTTTCTGATGGGGACCTTATATGTGGGGGGGGGGGGTCAATTAAGGACCGATCCACAAAAAATTTGGTTAAGAGAATTTGGATCTGAAAGAACTTACTTGAGTCGAATTTCATTGCTATACTCGTATTTTTACGCCAGTAATGAGCTTTAAAGTAATTTATGGAGGGGACCTTATATGGGGGGTAGGGTCAATTATGGACCGATCCATATAAAATTTGGTGGAAAGATTTTGGCTCCTAAGGTACTTACTTATGTCAAATTTCTTTGCTATACTCATATTTTTACGCCAATAATGAGCGATAAAGTCATTTTCTGAAGGGAACATTATATGGAGGGTAGGGTAAATTATGGACCGATCCACATAAAATTTGGTAGAGAGATTTTGGCTCGTATAAAACTTACTTCTGTGAAATTTCATCGCTATACTTGTATTTTTAAGCCAGTAATGAGCGTTAAAGTAATTTTTTGGAGGGGACCTTATATGGGGGATAGGGTCAATTATGGACCGTTCCGTATAAAATTTGGTGGAAAAGTTTTGGCTCATATAACACATACTTATATCAAATTGCATCTCAATACTCGTATTTTTACGCCAATAATGAGCGTTAAAGTCATTTTCTGAAGGGGACTTTATATGGGGCGTAGTGTCAACTATGGACCGATCCACATAAAATTTGGTGGAGAGACATTGGCTTGCTTGAAACCTATGTATGTCGAATTTCATCGCTATATTTGTATGTTTAAGCCAGTAATCAGCATTATAGTCATTTTAAAAAGGGGACCTTATATGGGGGGGTAGGGCCAATTGTGGTGCTATTTCCGCCGTAATTCAGAATTTTATTTCGGTAGTCAAAAAATCGACTTATGCGAAATTTTGTGGCAATTACTTCATAAACAACGAATTTGTGAATGCTTGAAACTCTTTATACAATATTCCGGGGGGTACATTTGTATGGGGGCTATGTGAAATCGTTGACCGATTTTGCCCATTTTCAATACCAAACATTTCTGATCAATAAGAAATATTTTGGGAAAATTTCATCTCAATATCTCTTTTTTTGTGGACGCTATCGTGCCAACAACAGACAGACGGACGGACATAGCTAGATCGTCTTAGAATCTTACGAGGTCCCAGAATATATATACTTTATGGGGTCTGTGAACAATATTTCGATGTGTTACACACGGAATGACAAAATCAATATACCCCCCATATTTTTTGATGGTGGGTATAAAAATTTTATTAAGTTAATTAGTTAAAAAGTTATAAAGGACCAAAAAAAGGTACCAAAATCACCTTTGTTACACATTCTCACCCCTTAAAAGTACGAATTTCAAAAAAGTACCAGACACCCATCTGCTTATTTTAAGAGCTGATACATGTGCATTTAAAAATTTTCTTGTATCACTAATATTAGGTATGATAATTAAGAAAACCTGTTTTACCCGTTTTTTTTTTTCCTTTTTTACCCCTAAATGTACAAATTTCCAAAAATCCCTCCTTAGTGGATCTACATAACCAAAATACATCCACTATCAAAATTTCATGATTCTATGTTCAGCCGTTTGGGCTGTGTGATGATGAATCAGTCAGTCAGTAACGCTACTCTATTATATATATAGATATGAAGCGACACTTGAAGCCGAACGGCTCCTAAAGTTAGGCGAACTGATCAGTAGCGGTTATAGGAAACGTCATTAATGTATTTATACTGGACACATTGGAATGCTATACACAAATATCGGACGTGAACGATCGCATACCAGACATTGAATATGTCGGAAACTTTAAACCACTGATCCCCTATAGAATGTCATGGTCAAACGGGACTTTAGAGCCATAGGAATCCGTTCTTATACGAATGGCTCTAAACTTGGGGACAAAACAATTATAACCCTGACTTCCAGACAGAATTCCGAGCAATAACGGAATGCTGAAATTTGATTAGAACAAATATGGCGCCAACAGGGGTTATCATATTTACAGACAGCCAAATAGAGTGATAAGAAAGCTTCTACCGATTAAGCTTTGTATCATATAGGTACCAGGCCATTCGGTAGTAGTCGGAAACGGAAAAGCGAGCGTGGGGACATCAGGTTTGATGTGTAAAACGTGTCTCGCTTTAGCTCCATTCACAAAGTATGTATAATATAAAAAACTAATAGGACTAATATAATGTACCGAGTTATAACGTCTATGAACATTACAACATACAAAAAAGTGTCATGGTATTCATGATAATTATGAAAGGTTTCATAGTAACATAACATCCATGATGGTGTGTCGTAACGTCCATGAACAAACAAATTCTGTATTTTAGATCTGATTTTGTGCTCGACCTATCCT